AGTTCGCGAATCACCCGTGAACCGAGACCCAGAAATTCGAAGGAAAAGACGAGATGATGGGCTACCTGTGCCTCTGCCCGCCGGCCGTCTGTCGCCCCTCAGCCCTAACATACAGTTGCCGCCCACGCTCCTCCGACGCCGATAACTTACGGATTTTACTTTCGAACTCATATCGCGCTTGTTCACAGGAGAACGACAAGTACGACTTCGATCCTCAAGAGGACCTCATCGACCAGCTTCACCTGGACATGGGACGGATTTACGCGACCTTGAGAAGCAGCCACGGTTTGGCTTCCTCCCGGCGATGGCGAGTCTTTCGGCGCCCTCATGGCCGAGTCTTTCTGCGCCAAGCAGGTGGTGCACCGCGTCGCCGCCTCAGTCTCAACGCGGAGGAGTACTCGATGGTGGTGATTCTCCGCATGAACCGCGCCTTCATTGGAGTACATGCGCAAGCACGAGAAGGACTATGAGCCCCGGCAAGTAGGCCTCCATCGAGTTTGATTCGCAGTCGTTCGCGGTTCGAATTACTCGAGTAGTTGATAACCGCGCGAACTTGGATCTTGGTGGGGCGGTTCACGAACCAGTATCCAGTTCTCGCGAACCCAGTTCGCGAACCGCCGCGCGAACTTGGTGGGGGCGGTTCACACGAACCAGTTCGCGAACCCAGTTCGCGAACCGGCGGTTCACCGCCGGTTCGCCAGACTCGGTTCGTTCACGGTTCACGGTTCGCGGCGGGTGTCGCGGGAGGAGTCGGTTCACGGATCACGGTTCACGGACTCGGGGTGGGGGCTAGTCGGTTCACGGTTCGGGGTTCACGGACTCGGGGCGGGGGCTAGTTGGTTCACGGTTCACGGTTCACGATTCCGGCGTGAACTGAGAGGCCTGCTTGCTGTAATTATGTGTGTGCCCGTTCCGGGTCCGAGCGGAAGGGGGAGTGTTTCGTCCGGCGATGATCACTTTTTTCAGCAGAGCCTTAGCGCGGATTTATCATTTAACCATGGTATTTCACCCCCCGCCTTCACCCTTGGGGGACCCGCTGTGTGCGGGGCGGGCCCCTGCACGGAGCCATGTCCCAGCGCCCACCACCACCTCAGCGGCAGCCCGGAGACTGGACCTGCCCGGGCTGCGGCGCCAACGTCTTCAAGAGCAAGGCTGAATGCTTCAAGTGCAAGGCGCCGCGTCCGGAGAGGCCGGCTGACGGCGATGGCGGCGCCAGCCGTGCGCCGCCGCCGAAGCGGCGCGGCGATTGGACGTGCCCGCAGTGCGCTGCCAACGTCTTCGCCTCAAACAGCGAGTGCTTTCGCTGCCAGACGCCGCGCCCGGTCGGCGGCGGTGGCGGGACGGCGTTCCCTCCGCCAAACGAGGCTGGTGAGGCTGGATGCGGCGACGGCGGCGGCGGCGGCGGCGAGGGCGGCGGCGGGCCTCCGCAGCGGCGCCGCGGCGACTGGCAGTGTCCGAACTGCCAGGCGAACGTCTTTGCGTCGCGCAGCGAGTGCTACCGCTGCCACGCGCCCAAGCC